GGGAGGGTGGATGTGTTGATGGAGACTGAGGGGGGATTAAAGCTCTTCACCCACTCCTTAGGGCTGTGGGAGGACTAGGCATGTTCCAGCCCTGGCTTTCCTCCCAACAGTTGGAAATGGTGATTTGTAGTTCCTACTCATCTACTCATCTGAAAAAGGCAATCTAGGGGCTCCTCAAAAGGCTTAGGGAACCGATTATCTTCCCAGGCAGGGTTGCCATCCTCCTCTCGCTCAGCTCCCTTAAGACCAGCCCCATTTATGATTTTCGTCAACAGCAGCAGTCACAGTATGGTTGAGAGCTGCCATATGCTGAGCCCTGGGAACACGGCAGGGAGCAACATCCCAGAGCGCTGCCCCGTGGGGTTTCCACTCTGTGAATATCTGTGTGTATGAGAAAGAGACTCAAGTAGCTGTGCAGGCGGAAAATCACAGGCCCTGAATGCGCCAGAGGTCTTTCCTAAACTGAAAATGGTCTCCCCCAATAGCTTCTAGAATCGTACAATGCTAGAACCAGTGTCCCCAGCTTGAGAGTTTGGGGAACCTGAGGTGAACTTCATTTTGGGGTCACAACCTGTGAAAGGATTTGTCTAGAATGACCATGGAAACTTCCAGAGGCCCTGGACTTGAAACTGACCTCTGGTTCCTTTTTCCTGTCTTCCATGCTCTACTTGCGGGGAGCACTCTCCAGTATGCTACCTCCTTTGTACCAGATGGCCTTTGGAGAAATGGCTCACGGACTCGGCCCCCATCTGATGGTGCCCAGGTTCTCATTGCAAGCATCCTGAAGTATGGGCTGGGCCCTCAAAAGGCCTGCCTGCCTGTGTCATGGCCTCAGCACATGGGCTCCCTTTATCATTGAATCCAGCCTGGGTCTCAGGCCCCCTTGGGGGTCTGTTCTTTGGTTTCCTGGGAGGATTTATTCCTATGTGACTGATTTATCCCCAGGAGCCCAAGTCAGTCAATCATGTGGGAGTTTCTGGCTGTATGCCCAGCTCAATGGATGGGGGATATTTTATGGCAGTGCAAGCTTGATTTCAGTTCTCCTTAGGTGCTGGTATCTTTCTTACTTACTGAAGCATTTGCTGGGCAACAACCTGGCCAGACATGGGGTGATCTTCCCCAAGTCACATTGCCAGTGGTGACAAAGTTGGGATGGAACTCGGGCTCCCTAACCATTGCATCACCTTGCCTCTCTGGAGAATGTCACCGGGCCCTGCAGTCTTACCATGAGGTTGTACAACTCTGTGACTAAGGATGCAGCCTTTGGTTTCAGAATCCTTGGGTTAGAGGACCTTCTCGCCACTTCTCGCCACTTGCTGTGTGTGACTCTGCCTCACTATCTTCCTTTGTTAATGGGGGTTAACATGGTTGATTGCAAATGGCCTCAGATTTTCTTACAGCTCTTCCTGTTGAAAGATGGACTGTATTTCCCCACACCCTGGAGATTGGGCTGACTTAAGAGAATATGGTGGAGAGTGATGGTGTGTGAGCTCTGAGCTCAGGTCTCAAGAGGCTTTGCAGCTTTTGTTTTCACTCTCAGAATGTCAATGTTATGTGACGAAGCCTGGCTGGCCTCCTTCAAGATAAGAGACCAAGTGGAGGTGATCCCAGCTAAAGCCCCAGATAGAAGTGAGATCAGTGGACACCACATGGATCAGAGACGGGATGTCCTGGTGGAACCTAGCCTAAGTTGCCCACTCGGCATTGTGAGCACAGAGACAAGGCTGTATCAGTTTACCAAGGTTTTAGGTAGTTTGTTACATAGCAGAGGCTAACTGGACTAGGAGATAAAAACAGACCTTACTTGTGGGGCTGTTGTGAGGATTACATGATGGGGTGGCTTAGACCAGCACCCAGAGCACAGCAGCTAGTACCAACAATCATGTGGCACTTCCTCTTGCTGATTGGGTTCTAGCTACTCTGACCTCTTTTTATTAAATATACCATATTCTTTGCCTTTTCAGGACTTTGCACTTAATTCTCTGCAACAACATTTGCTTCCCCCCAATCCCATCCCCATGGTTGAGGTCTCCGCTGAGATTTCCTTTCATTCAGGTATAATATCCTATTTACTGACTTCCATCCTTTAGTGTTGTATGTATTTCTCACCAGACTGCAAATTCCTAGGAGATAGGAGCTGGGCTTGTCCTTGTTCTCTCGTTCCTCCTTGCTGACTATCGCAGTGCTGTGTACAGGGGCTCTCAACTGATACTTGAATGAATTAACTAACAAAAAGAGGTCCTCTAGTCAATTTGGGGTTGAGGTTGGGGCTGGGTTTCCAGGAGAGGAGTAGTCAGGTGAGTATCAAATTATTACAGGTCTTTTGGCTTGTGTCACTCTTTCATATTGGGTCAAAGGTATTCTTGATACTTTTAGTCTTGGGAAGGTTATGAACCTCTCTAACAAAATGAAATGAAACCCCTGTCTTTCACCATGCACAAAACTCAACTCAAAGTGGATCAAAGACTTAGGAATATAACCAGAGACCCCCTAATAGAAGAAAAAGTAGGCTGTAATCTCCATCATGAGGGATTAGGCCCCAACTCCCTTAATAAGACTCCTGTAGTGCAAGAATTAAAACCAAGAATCAATAAATGGGATGGACTCAAACTAAAAAGTTTCTTCTTGGCAAAACAATCAATCTGTGAGGTAAAAAGGATGAAGTATTAAATAGGGGCTTAAGTTTATTAGATGAATGAGTGAATGTGAAGGATGATGAATAAAGCATACTTAGAACCAGTGATGATATATAACAGCTGGCAGGCAATTATGGAAAAACATGTTTATTTTTTCTTCTAAAAAGTGTATTTCCAGTTGATCAATGAAAGAAACATGTATAAAAATGTACTAAGTACAATCACCCTGGTGTTATATTACAGAGGAATTTGTTACAACCATTCCCTCTGAGTAAGATGGCACATGGGTTTGGTCACAGTTGGTTTACAAAGAGTGGCAAGAGGAGATGACCAGTTGTACCACTTGGTCCAATTTCCCAGGATGTAGAACTTTGTAAAAATGGGGAAGTCCTGGATAAATTTAGACAGTTGGTCATGCAAGGGAAATGGCAGCCACAGAGTACTGAGTACAGTATAGCATTTAGGTTGAGGTATTAGGCGTTCTTCAACTTTGCTGTCAGCCCTTTCTCCCTTATCTCTGAAGTAAAATCCACTGTACTATTACTGAGGGTGTTACTTCTTTCAAAGGATTTCCCCAGTGAATTTCAACTTGATCCTTATGCTAACCTGGGCTGTAGGACAGTTCTAACCCGATATGCAAGTGCAGTTTCCTGTTTCAAGGCTCCTGGATCCCAAAGAATATAGAGACAGAGCAAAGACTCAAACTTGGATTTCTGGAGGCCACTGAGCTATTCTCTTCTAGAGCATTCTACCTGGATCTTTCTGGCTACAACAGTAGGCAAGAAACATGGGAAGAGGAGGGGGGGCCCTAAGAGCCAGGTCTTGACTGATGTCCTCCCTTGGAACAATTCAAATCCTTTCTGCTCTGCCTGCTGTTGGTCTCCCCATAGCAATCTCCATGTTGGATACCCTTGAGCCCCCACCTGCTGGCCATGAAGCATCATGGTATGGTAGAGACAGAGAGATACAGTGATATTGGCTTCAGGATGATGCTCCAAATGGCTCAAGTCCAGGTTTTCCAAGAGGATGGTCGGCTCAGTCTGCCAATGGCAACTTGATTGTTTTGAGCTCTTTTGGGGCCTCTTTGCTAGGAGTTACTCAAGTGATAGGTCAACTCACGACTGATGGCTGTGATTCTCAGGTTCTAAGATTTGCCACACTTGTTACACCCACTAGTATACTTATCACCTAATCTGCAGTCTCTAGCTCAAGGTTGAGAGGGCTCCATAACCCACTCTGGCTTATCTTAAAAGACTGGGCATAGGTTACCACTACCAACAGTAGACATAGTTTTTCTTGAAAGCCCCGTTACAATTCTATATTTTTGGCATTTATGACCTCTAGGAATATAAAGTATAGCAAACCTTCCTTTTTTCTGTGAAGTGAGATTTCCCCTGACTTAGTTTAATTGAAGCAGTGTCATGCTGGTGGTGATATTTTTGGGAGAAGCTGAATGAGTGTGGGGCTTAAAACTTAGCCCTATCCTTTAAGATGGTGTTTAGAATTGCTCTATCATATGGGTGTATTCTGGGTGCAGATGTGTTAGGATCGCTTGATCGTTGGATTTTTCATGTTCTAAGAGCTGAATGTAGATGATAAATTTTATTTTAAATAAATAAAATAAATAGTTTTTAAGTATAGGGTGCTATCTATATAGTCCTCTTGGACGATTTCCCAGGTGATGCCACCTGTGGTCCATTACTTTGAACAGGATCCTCTGGTGCACCCATTACCTTTAGCATGCGCACCCTTCCGTTTTACACTAGCTGTGACCCTACAGCCCTTGGAAGCATCTTTAGATTGTTTTTTCTTTGGTGTAGAGACAGAAAGCAGACTAATTATGAATGGAAGCCATGTTAACCTTGAGTTGGTCATCGAGATAAAGCCGTTGTATACAAAGGTCTCATCTGAGACTTCAACTCTTGGCACTGAGGAGTGAGGTGATGGTTTGACAAACCCAGTATGTTCCTGAGTTCTTGCCTGGGTTGGTATGCTTCTTGGAATCGTGGAAATGTGTGGCCCAGTTACATTTGGTTCTAGGTTTCAATTATTTAGAAGATCATAAGAATACCTGGGCTAAAAAAAAAAAATTAGGAATTCAGTGCAATAGAAACATAGCCTCCTTATAAAACCCCTGTTTACAAGACATGCGGCTCAGCAGCAGAGGAAACTTAGAGGTGGACTGGCCTTTCAGTCCTTCTTAATAAACCTCCTTGGAACCAGCAGTTCCCTTAAGGAAGTCAAGTCTGGTGGGTAACAAAGAATAAGGCTGGCCAATTCTTCCCTCTATGAGGAAGGGTCAAGGGGTACTTGGGCCCGTGATCCAGTGGCCTCTTCTGAGTCTGCATGAATGTCTACAGCCCCTCATATGGTCAGTGAGCTCTGGGATCGACGATGGCTGCCTCTGGTCAAGGGCCGGGACACATCCGTTTGTTCCCTGGAGTAAGCTCTGGGAGCCTGTGTCCTATTTGGCCCTAGAAGATGCTCCCCAGATGAGAGTTGAGCTGAGAAGTCCCCTGAGCATGGGCCATCCCTCCCATGCTCTCTGCTGCTTCTCTGTCCTCGGAACACCCAGTCTTCCATGTGCTTCCGCTTGGGAGGACTAGAGCTCTTTGGGGTGCTGGTCCTGAAGTCCTGCTCTGGGACAGGTGGCACTGGACCATGAGTGGGCTGAGCTGCTACAGGAATAGTGGCAGGTCTTAGTTTGCTTCTCCAGTTCTGGATTTCCAGGTTTCTTTTTTCTGTGGGCAGTTGGTCAATTTTCTGAGCTTTTGAGATGGGAGTTTTCCCATAAGTTCCTTGTAGAGACAGGAAAAAGTATCTAATAGGAAACAAAAGAATAAATGTTTTCTGATTTTGTTGACTTCCTTATTTTCAGTATTGAAAGGGGTATTAGAATCTACCTTCCTACAAAGAGCCAGGTTTTTACTGCACTTCTGGTTATCAAATCTAAGCTTGGGTGCATGGGGGTTGAGGAGCACAACAGAGTAGCTGACATTTAGTATATACCAGGACTATTCCAAGGGCTTTGAATATTAGCTTATTCTCCCAATAATTCGTGTGCTTGGTATAGTCATGTGCCATGTAATGATGATTCAATCAATGATGGACAGCAGGTACTATGGTGGTCCTATAAGATTTGATCAGCTTAGGGATATAGCCAGCTTGGTTTAGGTAAGTATGCTCTATGATGTTTACACTACAATGAAACCATCAAAGGATGCACTTAGTCATGTGCTGCTTAATGACAGGGCTACATTCTTTCCCCCCCTTTTGTGAACAGATGAGGAAATTGGTATTGAGAGACCGAGTGATGTAACTGGAGCCATACAGTGGTCCACTCTGGTTAGAACCAAGCACTCTGAATCCAGAGTGTGTCCTACCTACCATGCACATTGTACACGAATCATTGGGAGAATTGGGAGAATCATCATTACATGGTGCATGACTATACCAAGCACACGAATTATGTTTTGGGGCCACTCTAATTTAGGCAAATGTAATTGATTGGTAATGCCAACAATTTGGAACTTAAGTCATTTTAAGATTCATCTTATTTTCTAGAATCTGTGTACCATGCTGAATGGAAAGCATCACTATTTGCCAGAGGGAAAACACTAAGGCCCCAAGTGATGAGTTGAGATTTGCAAGTTCTCTTGAGAAGTTGAGATCTGTTGACCAACCCAGGTTTCCTTTCCTCCTGTGGTGGACTGTGGAGTTCAGTGTCTCCATATGTAGCTAGAATTTTCTCCCTGTTCCAAATTTAGGGAAGGTATGAGGAGGGGAATAAACCTTAGGTGGTGTGTGGGAGCAAACACCAGCTTGTAACATGGGCTGCTCACATCCCCTCTTTCTTTTTTAGAGAAAGAATCTGACACCCAATCCATCTGGCCCAGGGGACATCTAAAGTCTTTCCCAAAGGTGAATAATCATCTTTCTTGAAAAAAATTATTCAAGTCCTAAAAGCAGAGAGGGGCTCCCAGTCTTCCACTGATCTTCAAATTGCAGGGTGACCCCACGGTGGGTGAGGGCTTTTTGATGACAACCTCCTCACCTCACCTGTGAAGTCACAGGGGGCCCTATATGCACATCAGGAAAGATTAGGCTTCTTGCCTAGAAACAAGAATTTCAGTCTGACCCTGTCCCCCAAACCACTACCTTTCTCCTTCATCCATTTATCAAAAAATACTTCAAGTTCCCACAATGGGCCAGGCCCCACTAGGCTAAGCTCTGAATGAGCCAGAGACTTGCTCTCTTGTCACATGAGTCCAGCCATACATGGGGGTGGGGAGGAGGCAAGAGGACGTGCAGCACCTGATCTGGTCTGAAGACCTTCCTCGGAGAAGAGACATGTAAGCAGAGGACTGCACAGGAGATGGGCCAGAAGCCAAGAGTAATGACTCGGGTATGGAGAGTTGGCACAGGGCAGGTGAGAGCTGAGGGCCAAGGTTTTGTTTTCAGGATTTTTAAAAAATGTATTGAGAAGCCCTAGGAGAATGATAAATGGGCGACATGATCACACTTGGATACAGTGATGGTACACAATAATGGACTCGATAGGAGACCCTTGAAGTAATTTGGGTGGAAGGGGCATGGCCCACCCATGATGGTGGCTGTAGAAATGTGTAGAAGGTAAAGCTACCAGAACTCGGTGCTGTGTAAGATGCACCTAGGGAACCCGTGGGTCAGATAACTCCCAAGGGTCTGCTCTGGTTCCACGTGGGTAGCACTTGCTGGAAGGAGCTGTGGAAAAGACCCGGCTTTCCGGATTGGTTGGTGATGGAGGGTGGAATTGTGAATTGGAGATGTTGCCTGGTTTCCTCAGGCTTAATAAGCCTAGGGGAGGTAAAGAATGGGAACCTGGGGAGATGCCTCTGGAATTCAGAAGAGAAGTCAGTCTCGGTGATTTAGAATGAAGATTCATCTGCTAAAAGTGATTTTTAAAAAATCCACAATAGTAAGAATAAAGTTAGAAGGGAACTTAGAGGTAGGATTGACATCTACACCACATAACAGATGTGAGCCAGCAAAAGAAAGGAGGAAAAACTTAATAGTGTGTAGAGTCCCTGAAGCCAAGGAAAGAGGGTCCAGGAACTGTTACCTTCTACTGTAGCTAATTAAGAGGCACATTTAAGGTCAAAATTTCATTTGCTTTTCTTCTGTTTGTAGTTAGGGGAATTTGTACTGTGTTTTATGCTGGGTGAAATAACTAGGTTTGAGAGGTCATAGTTAGTGGGCTAATTATCTTAAGTTTGGGTGGAAAATCAATCTCAGATGTAAGCTGCATTTATTATAACAATCAGTAAACAAGTAGTTTTCTACAGGTGAATAACTGTTCCAAATCAATAGCCCTTCCAACTATTATATCTCATCCTTTCATGTCGGAGGAAATCTCTTTGCTTCTCAATAAATATTAAGAAATTCAACTTTATTTTGATAGGTTATTTTGATAGGTTGCTTACTCTCTGTGTTAGGCAGGGTAACTAGCAAGTGAATATCTGCTTTTTCCTTACTTGTCCCTCATCTGTTCATCTTTTCAAAGCACCCTTTGCTTTATTAAAATGAGGCATCAGTCTTTTATATTCTGGCTCCAAGTCTTTTTTTAGTTAAAGAATGTGGGGCTTATAAATTTGGCTTTGCACATCTCAAATAACCTCAAAATAAATTGACAAGAATACTCAACCCTCATAGTTGATACCCTTTTCTGACAAGGGCATGATTGTCATAGTTCCTCTCTTCAGTGGTTATCTTAAAGAAAGGGTAGGGTGGGAACTATGCCCCTGAGGCTTCTGCTTGTGCCTGATTGCTTCCCACAATATTCGTAGGGCTTACTCTTGATACCAGCCTCTTATACTATGGTCAGACTCACATCCAAATCATCCACTGGATCATAGACTTCTTAAGGTTGTTGTTCCTTTCATTTATCTGAGTGCAGACAGGAAGTGTGCTATGCAGTGATGGTAAGAGAGAGACTGTGATCAATGCTAGAAAGGTCATGTTAGACATACCAGGTGGTGGGCTATGTGAGAAAGAGACTTATTTCATCCTGTGGAAAGTGACGATGTCACAGAACTTCTGAAAATCATCATACCTGACAAGATTACAAAGGCTGAAGAGGTTTGGTAATGGGAAGGCCATTCCAAGTAGAAGGAACTGGGAGAGAAATGGTAAGGGGCCACAAACAGCTTGGTAGTGTGGAACCCAAAGTTTGAGGCAAGGATAGGGAGGTCACGTACACAGTGAATATTTAGAACTCATTTCTATGGTGTTCTGCCATCTTGGCAGTTTCAGCTCTACATCAGGGGCCAAGGTTCTGAGAGGGTTTGAGAAGACCAAATGGAGACCAGCATAGGTACAGCCAAGGGTGTTGATGGTCTCTAATTTTGGGATAGAAAAATTTCTACAATATTGTGATTCTACTGAATACAGTCTCTAATGGTAAGTGGCTGAACTCTGAAGTTCAGGGTAATGAGACTGAGACAGGCTTTCACCTATGAGTATATCACTGTGAAATTAGCCAATTTCTCTGGGTCGAGAGTGTGGGATGGAGAACAAAACATTGATCCCTGGGTTGGGAGAATCCAGCTCCCACTCTAAGGGGGTACTGGTTTTATAGACACATCAGCAGTGTCAGGAACAAGTTGAACTAGAACCAAATTCTTAGCCCCTTGTTTTTTCCATCAGCTCTATAGAAAAGTGTGTATCAAGGGTGAGCTCCACAGAAAGGCCAGACATTATTCATTTTGCCCTTTTTATGGAAAACGTGAAAGCAAAGAATGTTGGGTTGGGAATATCAGGAACAGTCTGTGTGCATCTGGCATACACAGGTTTTGTATGAGCGTTTTGAACAAATTTAAATGATGTTGAAAAAGTTGGCTATTTCATGTAAAATTTAAGTTTTTGGGAAAAATTGAAAACTCTGTAATGCTTTGCTGTTTCTTTCCCCCACTGTTTTCACTAAACCTGACTTGGGGCAGTTGCTTGCCTGTCCTGTAGGCATTCCCCGGCTATCATACAACCATAATCTTAAGTCAGAAAGGTAGGCATTTTTACTTATTTTACAGATGTCACAACTGAGGTCACACCAGATTTGGTGACTTTGCTGCATTGTGGCTGACCTGGGAACCAGAGTTGGCTTTGTTTGCCCCCTGGTTCATTGTTCTTTCCATCTTAGCACCTTGCCTCTGGAAGAACAGCCACTAGGAGCCCATCAAGGGCCAAATAATGACTCCTGGGTTATGAAAATTGCTTATTAAGGGGAGATGGGCATTCTAGATGGGCAACAACCCCAGTGCTCAGACCTTGGGAGGAGAGCCGCGACAGGTGTGAGGAAGCAGATGAGGTAGAACGTGGGGTCTGAGAGCTGGTTCACCATCACCCAGTAGGGATTGGTGGGACTGTTGCAGGTGACACAGGTGGCGTTATACACCACGGAGACCACGAAGTACATCAGGAAGCTGCTTAGCAGAACAAGTCCATGGACAAGGGTCTGTGGAGGGAAAGAAGAAAGCACTCTTGAAGGTAAAGGTCAGATTTCGGGCACTATGGTTGAACTACTTGGCTAACTCCATTTTAAACTTCTTTGAAATGTAATCACAAATAAATAAAAAAGAGACCATTTGAATGGATAATTATAAAGCAAATATTCTTGTTGCTATTAACCCAGAGACCTCCAAATCTGTCTTTCTCCTGACATGGGTGATTGCCAGACCATCCTTGGTAGCTTTACCACTTACCTATGTTTCCTTATGTGGCCTATTTTTAAATGTTGAATAAATAGTATTTTTTTTTCCTTTTTCTCCCTCAATATTGTTTGTGTGAGGAGTCCATTTCTTCCACACATGGCAGTAATTTATTCACTTTGAAAGAAGCACTATGTTCCGTCGTTTGGTCTTACTGTCCTGTTTGTGCCTCTTCTTTTCTTGTCTTTTAAACATTGTGACTATTTTGTATAATTTAATTTTCTCTTTACTAGTTTGAAAGTCACATATACCATTTTTACTCTTTCAGTGATAACAAGTAACAAACAATCTTACTGGAGTTTAGAGTATACATCTTTCCCCTCCTGGATTACAAAGTGCTTTGGATCACTTGAGCTCCATTTATTTAACTCCTATGTCATTTGTTATCTTAGCTGTCTCTTTTAATTCTCTTAAGTCACGCAAGTTAGTGTTTAATATGAACGATAATCATTAAGATTTACTTACATATTGACCAATAGCCATTCTTCTTTCACCTTCCATCTGAGATCTTTCCTTCTGGACATCCATTAGCAGGGACTTGTTTCAGTCTGATGGAGATACACTCTGCTTTATTTCATTCTCATTCTTGAAAGATTTTTAAATATAGAATTCTTGTCTGGCAGGATTTTCTTTGAGCAACTTTTAGCTAGCATTCCACTGTCCACTGGCTTCCATTGCTGCTATTGAGAAGTTAGCAATCTCTGTCCATTTTTCCTTAAATGGAAATGTTTCTCAAAAATCTAATTTTTTTTTTTTTTTTTGGTCTTTGGCATTCTACAGTTTCTTTAATAGTGAATTGTTTTTGTTTTGCTTGTTTGCTATCTTCTTATATCTGTGGATTGATATCTTTCGATCACTTCTACAAAATTCTCAGGTTATTGTTTTTCAAATATTGTTTTATCCTCTTTCCTTCAAGGATTATTATCAATATAAAGTGATTTTCAGATACCACTAATATCTCTAAGTTTTATTATTTTTTTCTTCTATTTTCTAGATAATTTCTTTTGAACAACTCACTGAATACCTCTTAGCTGTGTCTAATCTGCCATAAGGTTAACCATTAAAAATTAGTTACTATAATTTTTACAAGTAAATTCTCCATGTGATCTCTTTTCAAATTTATATTTCTTTGTATAATTTCCCAATCTGTGCAGATATTTTAAAGCTTGTTCTTTACTATGATTAAAGAAATAGTGTTTTTGTCACTTACAGCTGATAATTTTGTATCCATTTGTTTCTTTATTCTCACTTATTGGTTTCTTTGGGAGATTGGTCATTTCAGAAAAAATATTAGGGAGGATCATTTCAACCTTTGAAAGAGGAAGGTACCTTTCTCTAGAGAGGGCATGTGTGATTCAGTGCCCTTCAATCACTTCAAGTATAATTCATAGGTTGATTTTTGGCTCACCCAGGTGATGCGAATCTGGGCTGCAAATCTATGTGAGGCCAGCTTTTGGTCACATTTTCCAAGAACAGGTCCTTTATGCTCATCTTCTCTGTTTAGGTGCACCTAATTCTATGCCTCTCCCCAACTAAAGTGTAGCCTCTCGGATCCCAGTGTAATGTGATCTTGTATTAGGCTCCTACTTTAGGAGCCTGGGTTTTAATTTTTGAGCCTTTCACTCAAGGTTCATTTTGGGCAGGGTCACAAGCACCCTCAAGGAAAGTGGTGCTGGCTCAGATTATGGTCTTTACTCTCCTGTCAGCTGTGAGCTTATTGTTGTTTCACAGAGTTTTCTTTAAAGAAAAAAGTTATCCAATATTTTTAGTTGTTTTCAGTGTGAGCAGTGATCCAAAAACAACCCTGTTTCTGAAGAAGGAAAAAGTTAGCTAACTTCCTTTTTTCTTTTTAAATTAGACAAAATTGTACATAGTTATAATGCACAACATGTTTTGAAACATGTATACATTGTGGAATGGCTAATTTGAGCTAGTCAGCAAGCAGTACCTCGCATAATGATCGTATTTGTGTGTGGTGAGAACACTTAAGAATGTATCATTCTTGAAATTTCTTATTAACCTTGTGTTGTACAATAGATCTCCTGAACTTCTAACTGAAATTATTTAGCTAAGTTTTTGAAATATGTATGCACTGTGGAATGAATGTAGAGACAACTAACAGAGGCATTATCTCACATGCTTGAGGTTGAGAACACTTGAAATCTCGTATGGATGTTTAAGAATATAATAGTCATATTGTACTATAGTTTTCTTAAACTTAGCTTAATACCTCAGTTGAATAGGAGGACTAACTTTATAATTGCTTGGGTGAGGACTATGTCATAGCCACTAAAATTGTTTTATTTCTAGCCCAGACAAGAAAGATGACCTCCTGATTCAGAAAGATAAATGGGCTAGTGTTGTGGCTTAGTGGTACAGTGCTTTCCTGGTATGTGTGGGGCACTGGGTTTAATTCTCAGAACCACATATAAATAAATAAAGGTCCATTGACAACTTAAAACAATATTTAAGAACTAAGAAAAAAAGGAGACAAATGATTTTAGTAACTGACTCCTTTCCAGAAAGGACTAGTAACTATTGGGGTTGGAGTACCTGTTTTAGAGGTGCATGAGGCAGACAGTATTTCCCAATTTTTAAAAAAATTTGAGGGGATGTGGCTCAAGTGGTAGCACGCTCGCTTGGCATGCGCGGGGTGCTGGGTTTGATCCTCAGCACCACATAAAAATAAAGATGTTGTGTCCGCTGAAAACTGAAAAAAAAAATTTTAAAAATTCTCATTTTTTATTTTGAAACAGTCTAGCTAAGTTATCAAGGCTGGCCTTGAATTTGCTTTCCACCTGCCTCAGACTCCTGAGTAGCTGGGATTATAGACATGTGCCACTGTGCTCAGTTTATATTTTCCTCTTTTTAAAGCAGATATATGCAGTACTTCAAGAAATAAGCTAAGTGACTGCAGAAGATCTAGAAGTTTTAGTCTTGTCACCTATTTAATAATACAGTCGAGGCCTGATTACACTTTGCAAGGCATTTTGAAAGTTTAGAAATATGTAATGGTTAAGAACGTCATAGCAGAGTTTCTTTAGGAAAATATGTTGGATTGGCTGTTTGAAATATTTCACAGTAATTACATTTTTTAAAAATATACGAAGATTAAGACTTGGAGATACAATGAAAGTACCCATATGTCCCTTGCAAATGACCTCTTTAATATTGAATATAAATTCAGTGTTCGTTATTTTTTGCATGTTGTATACATGTGTTTATCCATGGTGATGGTAGCTTTTTACTTTATCATGTATAAATACTGAGCTACAGGCTATAGTACTTCTTGCTGTGTCCTGAATGTACCCTTTCAAATTTATATGTTGAAGCCCTATAATAGTATTGGGAGGTCATGAGAGGGGAGCTCTCATGAAAGGGGTTAGTCTTTATGAGAAGAAATTCAAGAAAAATGATCTTTTTCTCAGTAATGTGATAATACAGTTGTAAAACTACATGTCAAATCACTGTCAGCACTGTCTATTCTACTTAAGAATAGACCATCCTTTTTCCTGTTGATGAACACTTTTCTTATTAGCAAAAAAAAAAAAAAAGGTACTAGAACAAACATGCTTGTGTATCTCCTTATATACATGTGTAAGTATTTTATGGGTTCATAAATACTTAGAGGGGAAATCATGTTGTAGTGTATGGGGGAAATCATGTTGTAGTGTATGAGTATTTTAAATTCTGCTTTTTAAAGGGGTGTATCAGTTTAAAGTCTAATAACATGAAAGTTCCTTGTGTGTTCTCATCAAACAGATTGTTGAACTGATCTGCCAATGCTGTATTAGACTTCTTAAAGATATATTAATTAAGATTGTTTCATAATTTTTTCTTTGGATTGTCCATGCCCATTTTGGTATCAGTGTTATTTTAGCCATGAAAAAACAAATTACTAGACTTTGAATGGGTGTCCCTCTAAAATTCCTATGTGGGAACTTAATACCCAGAGTGATAGTTAGAATCTTTTGGGAAGTGATTGTCATGAGTACTGTGTCTTGATGATGGATTGGAGGTTGAAGGCAGAGCTTCAGTGCCTTTTGTCCTTCTACCATGTTAGAACAGTATTCACCCCTTTTGTCTCCTTCCTCTCCAGAGATGCAGTAAGAAGGCTCCAAATTGGAGGCTGAGAGCAGCCTTCACCAGATGCTGAAACTGTCAGTACCTTGCTCTTCCAGTCTCGAGGTGTGAGAAATTTCTCTTCCTTGGAAATTGCCCCTTTTTCAGGTATTTTGTTATAGTGGCATAAATGGACTAGAACATCTATCTTTCCCTATTTTTTTCTGGTCCATGAAAAATTTTATATAAGAGATTATCTCTCTCTTATAAATTTAAACTCAAATTCATCTCTATAATTCATTTCTGGGGGACAGGATCTGGATTATTCATATTTGTTGAGTAATTTTGACTAGGTTTTGGTAAATTTTACATTTAAAGAAATTTTCAGGACATAATTTAAAATCAGATAATTATTATCATTTTCATTCCGTGTCTTCTCTTGAATCTGCTTTGCCAGGGTTTTAAAGTTTTCATTGGATTGTTGATTTTTTTTTTCTTCCATTTTCTTCAGTATATATGGTAATTTTATTTTCCTGCATGTGAATTCTCATTTGTTTTCCATAGTAAAAGCTTTAGTTGATTAAAGAAGTCTGCAAATGTATTTTATCATCATTCAGCAAGAATAATATTACAATTTCCAGCATTGTTTTTTACCTCATGAATTACTTAAAAGTGAATTTCCAAGTATGTTACTTCTGGTTACCTGCTTCTTGTTTTTAGTTCAAACATGGTCTCTATAATTATCAATCTTTCAGATTGCTTTATGATTCAAAATTTGGTCTTTTTATAAATGGTCTCTTTGGTTAAAAAAGATATATAAAATCCTGTTCCAGATAACAAATATATTAGATATAATTTATTTAAAGCGAATATATTTTATTTTGTTGCATATTTGATCCATGTCAGTTTCTGATAGAGCTGCATAAAAAGATCATGTTATGACTATGAATTTGTCCATCTGCCTTATTATATAAGGACAATATATATATATAGTGATAATGAATTAATTTCTTTTAAAACAAACTATCATTTGCTAAGAGTACTGATGTATTTGAACATATTTTGTATTTTTTATTCTCTGCACTTTTTCATTCTTTTATTAACCTTACATTTTGGGACTTTTATGAAAATGTATGGTTAAATGTATATTTCTATCTCCTATGCATCATGGATTTAGCACAAATTACCCAGCCCTTCTTTACCATCTTATTTCCTAAACTTTTTGATGTTCTTGCGAAAGTGGACTTTTTTTTTTTTTTGACTTTACGACTAGTGGGGTTCAGTGTGATATTTCCATAGATACATATAGATATGTAGTGCCTTTTTAAAATTAAATGTTTTTGTTAGTGCATTAGTTTTACAGAATATTGGGGTTCATTTTGACATGCATGGAATATAATTTGCTCTACTTCATTTCCAAGTATTTCCTCTACTGTTCTTCATTCTATTCATTTGTAGGTTTTTTATTTTTAAATTGCTGCTTTATAGATACCAAGGTGCAACTGATTGTGGTATATTCGTATAGCTACCTAGCATAATTTGGTCAATGCCTCCCACTGTTCCCTCATTCCCCATATTTTGCTCTAACCTCTGCATATGAGAAAACATCTGCCCTTGATTTTTCTGGGTCTATTTCACTTAGCCTCATGATCTCTAGTTCTATTCATTGATTCACATAGTTTCATTCTTCTTTGGGGCTGAGTCAAACTCCACTGTGTATATATACCACATTTTCTTAATCTGTTCATCTCCCTCATGGGCACTTGGGCTAATTCCATAACTTAGCTCTTGTGAATTGTGCTGCTATAAACATGGATGTGCTCGAATCACTATAGTAGGCTGATGAATCCATTGTTTTTTCTGGTGGCTTGTGTCCATGTATCTTGTCCAGAGCCTCTGGTGGACTTTAAGATCATTGCTGTATCTTACATTGATTGTACAGTTTCCCTATTGTATATCCAGGTGATACAGCCAGAGTCATTCTGATTTTCATTCTCAAGCCCTTCAAATGCTGTTTCTTTACCATTCTCTCCTGTATCTTCTCCTAAGACTCCTATCATGTGGATGCTGGAGCCACAGTTGTTCTCAGCTACTTTTCTTATTCGTGTGGCATTTTGGATGAGTTCCCAGTATGACTTTCCAATTTGGTATTTTACTTTTTGCCAGTGTCTGATCTAAAGAGGATCCCACAAGTAGCACTTTTTCATTTCCAAGAGTTCTAAACATACAGCTTGTCTCAGTTCCTAGGATCCGGTGCTCACAATTCTGATACAACTGCTGTAGTAACCCCAAATAGCTTTTTGGTATATTTCCTGACAGTACGGGAGATTGAACCTGTGGGTCTTTTGCCCTGGAGTAACATCCCTAACTCCCCTTTTTATTTCAAATTTGAGACAGGGTCTTGCCAAGTTGCCCAGGCTGGCCCCAGACTTGGGATCCTCCTGTCTCACTGAGATGACAGGCATGTGCCACCATGCCTGCTCATTGTCTATAGGTTGCTTTCTTGAGTGGGGGAAGTTGGACCCGGTAGTAAATGGGACTCCAATCTCCCCACTGCCATCAACCCTGTGTTATTCTGACTCTCAGAAACCTCCTAGTTTGAGCCTGCCCAGAACCTGACCTCTTCCCTATGTGTTGCAGGCTCTCTGGTGAGGTGGTTCATGAAGAAATTTAAGCCTGCTGTGTTTTTTGGTTTTAGTACTAGGTTCTGTCATTGGCATGTGTTGAAATACAAGGGGAACCCTGTGATGTAGTGTCTCCCTTAGTGGTTTCAACAGCCAGTGCCTGGTTTGGGTGGGAGGTGAGATAAGTTCTACTGCAGAACACAGGAACAGGTTGAGCCTACTTGGGGGCAGATTTCCAAATTTTTAAAACTCACGCTTTCGGAAAGAGCCATTTCCATGTGATTAAGGACAAATCTTTCTGTACTATGGTCTCCATGTACCATTTAATTTTATTTATTCACATTATTAACAAAGTTGTTAGATTTCCAGGGCTCAAAACCTCTTCTGTCTTGAAATGTTTGGGGCCAGTTTCTTGGCCCTGGTGCACTTAACACAAAGGGATCTGTGAGCTTATATGAGATAACCCATGCAAATCATGTAGGTGCCTGGCACATACTTTTCATCTCTTTGTAAAGAAGTTGGAATTCCTTTTTAGGTATTAAAATGTGATATTTGGACTTGCTTGAGATATGGTGACCTGAAGGCAGTTTCCAATATTGCATCCTAAAATTTAAATGAGAAACAGACCTCCTCTAACACAGCTCATCTCTATACCACTCCTGAACTTTGTGTGTCAGCGTTATCTGTTTTTGCAAATAATGCTGATCTAGTTTTGTCATCCTGGCTAGATGATAAGCAAGTGGAGGCCAGGAACTGTATCTTCCTCACTATTTTCAACCCTTTCCAGGTGGGACACAGCTAGGAGCTCAATATGCAGTGACCAAATGAATCAATGATAGAGTGAAACAACTCGGAAATCTGAATGTAGGCAATGGAAAGGGATTTGCTTTTGAGCTACTGAGGCTTTGGGACGCTTACCCAGGTCTTCATTTCCATCGCCTGGTGCAAGAGGATTGTGATGAGGGAGATGGTGTTGATTGGTGTCCCAAAGGTAAAGACGTCGATGTCAGAGCCTCTGTAGGTCTGCAGAGGAGGAACAAATGGGCATTGTCAGATGTGTCTGTGGACATAAAGCATCAATGAAGGCAAGTGTCCAGGCTGGGGATGAACAGGGAGAGAAGATATCCAGTTGCTGTCCACCCAAAGAACAGACAGATGAGAAATGAGGTGACAGGACTAAATTACTAAGAAACATGTTTGCCAGAGGAAGCCAGAATGAAGGCTGTAAAACCTCTGAGTGAACAAAGAATTTATGGAGCACCCCCCAGGCTCCGGCTGAGGACACTTTCATATCCACCTTCAAGGAGTTTACAGTCCATTAGGCCCGGTAGCTGTGGTACAGGTTAAGGGCATGAGTGCCATAATAGAGGGAAATGACAACAGGTCCTGGAAACACAGAGGATATGACAGCTGAGATAAGAAGAGAAATGCAGTCCAGGCAAAGGTCACAGGAGAACAGGATGGGTCTGTTGAGCATATGGCAGGGACAGACGATAAGGCAGGAAAGGCCAGTGGATGCTTCACTAGGAGGATAACACAAGCCTGGGAACTTGGAAAAAGCAGAAGTTGCTCCCACCCCCATCTTGTTGCTCATTGTGGGGAAAAAAAATGAGCTCAAAGGCTCACCATAAGCAACATGGTTTTTTTGGGGGAAATTACTCCATATTCTGACCCCCTGTTCAGGAAGAATATTCTTCTATTTAAACTGAGAAAACAAATTGAGACAGGGCTGGTATCCCTTGTTATCTATGCAATTGCTGTTTATTTAAGATAATACAGTATCTCTTCTTGCTACCTTGACTTTGCAAGTACAAATTATATATATTCACACATATGTATATGGAAGGTATTTGAATTTAAAATCCTTGAGATATAATCAGGCAGGAAGCAGTATGAACAAAGAAGTCCAGGTGTAAGGGGGATTGTGGCACATGGGAGAACACATTTCCCATCTGAGCAGGGCTGCAAATTTGAATTTTTGCCTCATGGCAATAATGCTAGCTTCTGGTTTTTCAAGATCCTCCAGATACTAAACTGTTTGGAATAAGTAGAACACTTTATCCTAACAGCTGGGTGGGATGTGGTTTGCAACCACCAGTTTGGAGCCTGTGTCTGAAGTATCCAAAAAGACACCGCTTGTCTGGAATTTCATATAATCTGTACCAACTGCAGGCTGTGATTGATGGACTAGTTGTCTTACCAGATAGGGGAAAAAGAAGCAGACAAGGCTCTGGTAGAACGCATCCGCCATGGAAATCCAGAAAGCCGACAGGTTGTAGTTCTGCCAGGGAAGAAGACGCCCATGGTTACAACATAACACAGCCCTTTTCCTCCTAAGCAACCATCTTGGGGGAGAGGTTGGGGATGATTGGCCACTTGCACCTGCCTCTCAGCCACAACAAAAAGCACAGACTCTCGAGACCTCAGTTCAAGTCTTGGCTCTGCCATTCCTGTGGGACCTTGTACAGAGAGCTGAACTGCTCTGAGGATTCATTTCTTTTTCCATAAAATGAGGCTAGAAATAGTACTGTTTCCTTGGGGTTCAAGAGGACTAAATGCCACGGTGCCTTGGTCTCTATTAGCGCTCAGTTTCTATTGACAAAACTACTCCACACCGGGTACATCAGAGTCTGAAGTGTCCAGGAGGCTTCTGAAAGGAACAGCTAGAGCCCAGCCCGGGATCCAGGGCTCCCCAGAGACAGCTCAGCTGTGTCAGAGACGAGCCTTTGCTCTTTCTGGGGAAGACAGAAACCTTTGTGGTTGGTTTTTACTATATTTTCTTGGAATTGTAGATGCCCATGGAGCAGTTATGCCCCCCTTGGGGAGGGGCACCTACCCAGAGGCACGAGATGGCTGTTCTGCCTCCAGGACTCGCACATACTCCTCGGCCTGCGGTGTCACTTTATGCTCCTTTCTTTGGGTTAGGACGGGGCTTGATTCTTTGTTGCGAGCTGATATTTTTTTGAGAACACCACATCTGGCTTTGCCTTCCTTTGCCCCAGGTGCACAGGTGCCCTATTTACAGGTGTTTCAAGGCCTCTTTCCCAGAAGGCCCCTTCAAAGCATCCAGGGGCCCCTCCACCAGCCCTCCTTGCCCATTGCCTCACTTCTCCAAATCACTCAGGGTAGCCTCTCTGGACTTCTGCAGTCTATCTCATACCAGAAAGTTCTAGGCCATGCTCTCTTGAGTTCTACATTCTTCCCTGGATGATGTGAAGTATGCTTTCGAGTATACTTTAGGGATAAGCAAACTGGTAGCTAGTCCCCAGGTTTCTCAAGCTGGGGGACATGGTTTGTGCATGTCCCTTAGAGGAAGCTTGGTCCTCAGTGTGGTGATGCGGGGAAGCCATGGTGGGCTACTGTAAAAGAGCAAGTCCACCCTTGCTCTTTTACAAACTTTGGAGGTGGCTTTCCAGCTCCCTGTGAGCTCTCATTCTCACATGATCCCACCCTGATGCCATCACCATGTTGTGCTACAGCCCAGGGCCCCATAGATAAACTCCTGGAGTTTGTACAGTACCCAGCAACAGGAAACACTGGGCTTGGGAATCTTTCTATATGTCCTCCTCCCTTTCAATCAGGGCAGTCACATTAATATGTCACTTTTTTTGGTATTGGGGAGTGAACCTGGGGTGCTTAACCACTGACTCACATTCCAGCCATTTTTAACATTTTACTTAGAGATAGGGTCTTGCTAAGTTGCTTACGGTCTCTCTAAGTTGCCGAGGCTGGCTTTGAACCTTCAATCCTCCAGCACCAAATGAAATTCAAGTATGGGAGCAAGAGTTGCCTAAAGTCACATGGGAGTTAAGGGACAGAAAGCAGGGCTTGTGACCTAGCCAACTGTTCTTACACTGATCTTCAAGGGCTGTCAGTGGTCAAGGAAAAACTGAGGCCACCACCTCCTGAAGGCCTGAGCTCCTTACCTCGGAGTTCTGGCCACTCTTGTAGAGCTCGGGCAGCGCCAGCAGCGTTTCTGCAGAGACATCTTTATCAAGGACTCCGAAGATGATAGGTGGCAGGGAAGTGAAGAAGAGGTTGAAGAATATCATCTGCCAGTAATCGATCATGGTGGAGCCAGAGAAACCACAGAAGAACTGGTACCAAAAGAGCAGGTTGACGTAGCACTGCAGGCAGAGAGCGTGGCTTTGTGAGTGAGGCCCCTGCTGGTCATCAGCTGCTGCTTCAGAGCTCCCTGTCTCCTGGGCTCTTGGAGCTTCGATTCCCTCATTTACAGCTTCTGTTAACATTACTGCTCTTGATAGCATATGCACCTTACCACACTGGAGAATGTTATGTGGTTAAGAGCAGAGGTTTTGGAGGCAGGCCTGATTTTAAGTCCCCCAGTCTGTCACTAGCTGTGTGACCTTGGGCGAACTGCTTAACCTTTCTAAATATCATTTTGTCCTCTGTCAAGGGAACAATAATACCAAGACCATGGTGATAAATAGATGGCAACAGCATGGTACTAGAAACTAATGCCTCAGCATAAAAGTGACAGAAAGACTGAACCACGAACAGGAAACCTGTTGATCTCATGAGAAGGTTTATCATTTGGGATTATCCTAAAGGTCATTTAACTCAGAGGGGGAGGGGTAAGAAAAGTCTGCCTAAATACAGCTTTATCTTTTCTAAAGCTCTTTCCCCCTCCAGATCTCCCTACCTGGAGATAGGCTGGGTCCCCATTAGTGTCTGCCACATTGTGAAGTGGTTTGGTGACCCAACCACAGCTGGTCCTGGAGGTAGCTCCATGAACCAAAAAAATCCTAGTCCTGAGGCATGCTGTGATAAAGGGCCTTACGAGAAATCATTCAGCAGGTTTGTATTCAAACTAAAACCCTCATTTCAAAACTGCTGGGCTAATGTTGTTTTGAAGAGGCCATTATTAATATGTCAATATTATAATTGGTTTTAGAACAAATGATAACTAAGTTTCTACATGTGTTGTGCAATATACCTTATAGCATATCACAATGTCAGTACAGTACATTAGACGTACAATATAATAATTTGTCCTAGCAAAATTGTAAGATTATTGCCAATAGCGTATTTATTGTATTAACATGGATAGCAATAGTGACAATAATATTAGCCCCAGCCTGCAGATGAGGCTCTGAGACACTCAGCTGCCCTTCGACCTAGTTGAGAGCTAGAAAGTAGCACAACGAGCACCTGCATTTTCAAAGTTCTCTTTACCCACCCTCAACCTCTTTTGGTCCTAATTTTGGTTTACACAATGAGATTCTTCTAGATGTCCATGGCCTGCTAAGCAGAAAAGATGCATTATCTGACCCCTTGCAAAGGCCTGATATAGACAGGGAGCCCCCTGAGGGCAGGGGCCAAGGCTGACCTGACCCTGTGCCCATGGCCCAGCACTGTTCTGATGTATAGTAGACATTCAGTGCTTATACGTGAAGCAAATATTTGTTTTCTTGTTCTAACACTCATCCTGGAGTTCTGACAGCTCTGAGTGCTTCCTTCCTCCCGAGGCCCTGGTAGGATCTTGCCTATTTGCTGATTCCTGTGCCTTGCTGGAATCTTTGCATCTCCCAGGGAGCATCTCAATGGCAGCCTGGCTGAGATCTGAGGCCTGCATTCCCTCCCAAGAAGCGACGGTGCAGTAATTAATTCATTGTTCAAATTTCAGAGCAGGCAGTGTTTTAATCCCCTCTGAAATTGGTTTCGGATGTGGAAGTCATAGTTCTCCACCCTCTAATTGCAGCCGGGAGATAATGTGGCATCAGCGTCGCAATTTCAAGCATGGCATTGGGCTCGAAATAAAGATCATTTAAGCTTTGAAAGCGTGGCTGGCTGGAAATGTTTCCTTTTCTGTTTCACAAATTTAATGCAGAGAAGAGGCTGTGCTCATTCAAAAGAATGTTTCCTTTGGATGCAAAAAAGAAATGGGGGAGCATTTTGAATTCTAAGTAACCAGTCTTTCATACTCGGTGAGTTTCAAGTCAAATGGAATGACTTGTTTGCATAGACTTGCTGAGATAATATTACCATCCAGTTGATCGAATTTACATGATTTTTTTTTGTCATGCTGTTTATTTACATGTGCATTGAACTTTGCACAGAAAGATTTGTTCCTGAGTGAGGGTGATGGTGTCAGAGCCTGAAAGGAGGACTGGGAAAACAAGCAAGAAGGATAAAGAGGTCTGTAGCTGCTTCTTGGCTATTGTTTCTCTTCCCTCTTTCTTATGCAAAGAGGAATCTGATACTATTTGAAGACTCTTGGGGATTATTCAAAGGTCCTTGAACTAGGTAATGAAAAACTCAGGACTTGTTCCCTCCGTTAGTACAAAAACAGACTTCTCCCTATGCTCATAGAGCCCTAGAATCACCTTATATTGTTGGTGGAGAAACTGAGGCTCAGTGAAGTGACTTTTCCAAGGTCTCCTGTCATGTTACACCCAGATGAGCTGCCTTCCCTAGACATCTTTGCAGATACATATTTCATTTAGAGTCCTGCCCTCTTGGAACCCACTGGAAGGAAGTCTGGTGTTCCTTAAGGGAGGTGCAGGTTGAAGCCGTGGGCTCTGGTCTTATACAATTACAATTCCAAGGCAAGGCATGCAGATCTTGAATTGGGATGGCTGTCTTTGGAGAGGGAATTCTAAGGTATGAATCAGACTGGTTGTTGGTTTTCAATTTCTTTTTCCTTGCAATCAGAACATAAATCTCATGAAATTTAACTCTAAGAATAATAATGGCTAACTTTAGAGTTATTACTACATGTCAGTCACTTTGTATACAAGATTTCATTTGTGCTTCACAGCACAAACTATAGTTGGAATGTGTTCTTCAGAGGCCCATGTAGGAGAACCTGTGAGGTGATGGAACCTTTATCAGGCAGGGTCTAGTGGGAGGAATTGAGATATGCTCTTGAAGGAAATATTAGGATCCCAGCCCTTCCTCTCCTCCTTTGACTTCCTGGTTGCTATTGGACGGACACCATCCTTTGCCATGTGTTCCTGCCTTATCATAGGCCCCAAAGCAATAAGCTGACTGTCCCATGGCTTGAAACCTCAAACTATGAGCCAACATAAACCTTCCCTCCATGTAAAGTTGATTATCTTATTTTGCACACTGACAGAAAACTATCATAGCATGTATATGTGAATGATACTATTACCATCTGCATTTGACAGATAGATGGTGAGACTTAGGTTCATCACCAACTGGGAACCAGATTTGAACCCAATGTATCTGATCCCAGACTCCACACTTATAACTACTCATGCTCTCCTCTATGCGCGATATTGCCAATTCTTAACTTTATAGAAAAAAAGTATTAGCTCTTTCTTATCAAAGGGGGATATTATGGCCCAGAGAAGTGAACAGTTTTAAGATCTAAAAATTCAGGTCCGCATGCCTCATTCCATGTTTCTGAGATGCTCTGGCCAGGATCTCCCCCAGGGATGAGGTGGGAGGTTGCCACCAGTGCCACTCACCACATTCTTGTAGAAAAAGTACACCACCATCCTGGCCAGGCGTGAGTAACACCAGTGACCATGCACAAGCAGCAGCTTCTTGAGGTGCCGGAAGCGGGAGATGGCAAAGTCACTGGACATGACAGCCTGATGGGGAAGAGCAGGGATGTTAGCTTCCATCTGTGGCCACCAAAGTCCCAAAGGAGTTCCCTTGAGGGCAGTGCTTTGTTCTAGGTCTGGAGTTTGCAGGGTCTGAATTGCCCCTTGTTTAATTATGTGGTCACTCTTGGGTGGACGGTTGGATTCTGACACCTGGGAAATGGAGACCTCACTAGACTCCAAGAAGGGTAACCAGAAGGACCAATGGTTTAGTCTGTCCTCTCCATTTGTTTATCAAATAAGCATTTACTGTGGCTCAGTATGTGGCAGGGGCCATTGCAGGGATGTGGTGGTTAACCAGAGAGTAGGGTTTCCATTCAAGTATTTCTCCAGCCCCTCTGGATGGAGCTGATGGGTGGCTAGTCCCTCCTTTACAAGGAACTGAAATGTCTTCCGCCCTTGGGATTATTCATAATAAAATAGTCCAGAGTACTCTTTTAAGATCACGAGGTTTGGTTATACCTAGTTATAAATCCTGGTATGAATCTGGGTCAGGTTGTATCAATTCCCTCATCTGAAGACAATGGAAGAATAATCCCTAACACAGGGTTGTAGTGACAACTCAAATTCAGCAAGGTGTAGTACACATGAAGTGCCTGACAATGTTGGCAGGTGGGGGACACTCAGGCGGTAACACAGAACTGCCTTACAAACTTAGTCAATGTCAAATGTCTGCAGGGGGAGTGGAAATACAACCGTTATGGTTCAAAACCACAAAATAGGGTCTGCTTTAAGGAGACAGAAGAGCAGCTTTAGTTAGTGTTGAGAGCCACAGCCGAAGTGGCCCCAGCAAACTTCCAGCTGATTGGCTCCTCTGTGGTGATGCTCATTGGGCTGTTTCCCCACCCTTTCAGACCACGCAGCTGCTCATTGGGGGACTCTTTTGGCTCCGCCCATGCGACCCAGCCAATCGGCCTCAAGAGTGGGAGGAGTGGGGGGTTGAGAGGCTCCCCGGAAGCCGTTGGTGGCAGTTGGGCTCTGAGGGAATTCCTGAAGAGCTCCTGTGGTGCGTTTCTGCTTGACAAGTGGCTCGTGAATTGTGCCCAGCCAGACTGTGGCAAGTTAGTCTGCTTGGTCAAAGCTAACTTTTCAGTAAACAAGGTACACTGTGAAAGTACACCAAGCAACTAATGGGTCCATCAACCCACATGGCTAAAACAGCAACTTAAAATGTTTTCAAAGGCCCTGATGGCTAATTGCTCACAGAGGGCACTGAACCGTTGGATGTGGGTTACAGCACACAGGTGTGGAGTCAGAGGAAGGCTTATATTTTGGGTACTAATCAGCTTCAGAGGACAGCTATCATCCGCTCACTGTAAAAAGCCAACCTCCTTCACTATCCCTCTGTTTTTGAAAGGCTGGGCCATAGGAATGTGGTGTCGGAGGTCGGGTAGAGGCATGGAAGATGGCTGGTAATTCCATGAAGCTCTTGGGGAAGGTCCCTCCAGTGCTGTGGGGGCATTCCTTAAATCTTCAATACGGATAGAGGAAAGTAGGGAGAAGCAAGAGCAGTTTCAGGGCACAATACCTGCATGCCTTCCTGTCCAGATATTCCAATCCCAATATCGGCAGCTTGAATCATGCTTACGTCGTTTGCTCCATCACCTGAAAGAGGTCAGGATGCAGATTTATTCCTGGTCCAAGTGCTAAGGGACAGTGAAATAGCTCTAAAGCGTCCCCCTATCAATACAACTGAATCCTTTTAACACTTCCCATAGGAAGTCATTGTTACAGTATTTGGCCTGAAAGATGTCTTCTATATGAGAATCCCTATTTTCTTTATCATTCAACAAATACTAAGTGTCTTTTTTTTTTTTTTCTGAACAGAATATGAGGTATTGGGGGATACAATGGTAATCCAGAAAGCCATGGGCAGTTCTTTACAGTTGACAAAAAAGTCTTCTGCAAATATTACAATGGGCTTTACTGTTCAGCAAATAGAGAATTTGAGCACATTTAGAGATTCAGCACCCAGATAGTAAAAACATGCAGGAGGATTGGTGCTCAGATCTTTGATTCCAGGGCCAATACACTTTCCTCAGTATAACTTGGAATAATGGCCAAGTCAAGACAAATGGATTATACGGCAACCAAATCATCAGATTGTTGATGGTGTCCAAGGAGAGGAATGTCATTCAGTTTTGTTTCTGAATATAGGAAATGAGTCTTAATTTGTAAATTTTTGGTTGAAATATATTCACTTGCATTGAGTTTCCATTCAGTGAACTGAGTTGCTTCAGGATATTGGAGTTCAAGCCACATTATGTAGACATGGCATTCCTCTGTGCCGGCAGAAATGTTCTGTTTTCTACCTCATCCTAACAGAACCATGGGCTACAAATGGCTATTGACATTCTATTTAATTTTAACTTAGTAGCCACATACAGCACTCCACTCCATCTAGTGAGCCTTCCTTGAAGCCTGACCATCCCCAGTGACCATCTTTTAAGCTAGAGTTCAGCAAACTAAACTCTGTAAAGGGTCATATAGTAAACATGTTGGGATTTGTGAGCCAAGACACAAAAATCAAACAAATCAACTATTCTCACTAAAGGCTAGTAGTCCTTAGTGGTTTTTATATTTTTAAATATAAGTTTTATAATTAGCACCCACAAACATACGTAGTAGCCTGGATTCCACCTGCCGGCTATGCTCTGCCCACTCCTATTGTAGACAGTCACTCTCCTGTTCCCACTTCTTCTAGTAGCTTCTTAGAATAAATTGCAGTTAAGTTTGTATTATTCATCACAGAGGGTCTGGAGAGGAAGGAGAGCAAATAATTCTCCTACTTGGCAACAAAAAATGTGTTAAAAATTCTGTCCCTCATGTTATCTCCCCCATAAATTTTTATAATTGTGTCAGTTAAAAATTTGATCATAGGTAGACTTTTTCTTGATAGCACAGCAGTGCATATTTTTAATCCTCCCACAGCAGAATAACGCTAATCTTTGACCTCTTCAGCTGGCGCTCCAGGAGAGGCATGGAACTATGCTATTTCCCACCTTGCTGGTTTCAGTTCCTGTCGCTATATGAGGGAAGCTAATCTCTGACCCTCGGAGGATCAGTCCTGGCTATTGCCTTGTGTGCCTTGAATTACAGAAGATGATGACACAGGTACAAGAGGAGCATGCAGTTGCCAAAGCTCTGTTCCCTGCATAGCGTCGGTTTCCCTCACTTCTACATTCCAAACTGCTTTCACCTGAAGACCAGGGGGAAACACTATAATAAGTCTCTTGTTTGAAAAAGAAGAAGAAAAAAACTTTCCATGCCTGTGTAGGAGGAAGAGAGACTGGCACCATCTGTTGAAATGTCCCCCCCTTATCTGTGGGTGATACACTGCAAGACCCCCAATGGGTGTCTGAAAATGTGGATAGGCTCCAACCCTATGACTAGGTTTCTCCTGTATATATGTACCTATGATAAAGTTTGATTTAAAAATTGGGATCGACGCACAGCAGGCCTGGTCCACCCCTCCCCTGGTAGGGCAGACGCCCACCAGAGCCTATCCTCTGGCGCAGGACTGCCCCTTCTGACCACCAGACTACCCAGGGAGGTCAAGCCCTGTGATCTAGATCCACCAACACTGGTCCCAGGCGCACACAGCAGGCTCAGTCCACTCCTCCCCTGGCAGGGTAGACACCCACCAGACCCTAGCCTCTCGCAAAGGACTGCCTCTTCCTACCAGAAGACCACTGAGGGAGGTCAAGCCCAGTGGCCCAGATCTACCCACACCAACTTGTGCAGGACCCAGATCCAGAAGCATCCATTGAGGGCATCAGCAGGGTCTGGAAGCCCACATCAAGGTGAGGTACAGACAACCTGCATAGGTACTACAAGCATATAGGGAAGAAACTGTAGTATTTCATATCCACACTGCAAGAAAGGAAGACACATAGACAACATGAAGAAACAAAGGAGAAAAGTGCCCCAAACAAACCAGGATACTATAATAGAACCCACGGACAGCGAAGTTGATGAAATGTCAGAGAAGGAGTTCAGAAGATTCATAATTAAAATGATCTGTGAGAGCACTAGTAACAAAAACAGCATGGTATTGGCACCAGAACAGACTGGTAGACCAATGGTACAGAATAGAGGACACAGAGACTAACCCACAAAATTACAATTATCTTATATTAGACAAAGGTGCCAAGAACATGCATTGGAGGAAAGATAACCTCTTCAACAAATGGTGCTGGGAAAACTGGATATCCATATGCAACAAAGTGAAATTAAACCCCTATCTCTCACCATCCACAAAACTTAACTCAAAAGGACCTAGGAATTAAATCAGAGACTCTGCGTCTATTAGAAGAAAAAGTAGGACCTAATCTCCATCATGTGGGATTAGGCCCCAACTTCCTTAATAAGACTCCTATGGTGCAAGAATTAAAACCAAGAATCAATAAATGGGATGGAATCAAACTAAAAAGTTTCTTCTCGGCAAAAAAACAAACAACAATCTGAGGTGAACAGAGATCCCACATCCTGGGAACAAATTTTTACTCCTCACACATCAGATAGAGTACTAATCTCTAGGGTCTATAAAGGACAAGCTAAGCACCAAAAAACAAATAACCCAATCAACAAATGGGCCAAGGACTTGAACACACACTTCTCAGAATATGATATACAATCAATCAACAAATATATGAAAAAATGCTCATCTCTAGCAATCAGAGAAATGCAAATCAAAACTACTCTAAAGATTTCATCTCTCTCCAGTCAGAATGGCAGCTATTATGAAGACAAACAACAAGTGTTGGCAAGGATGTGGGGGAAAGGCACACTCATACATTGCTGGTGGGACTGCAAATTGGTGCAGCCAATCTGGAAAGCAGTATGGAGATTCCTTAGAAATCTGGGAATGGAACCACCCTTTGACCCAGCTATCCCTCTTCTTGGACTATACCTAAAGGACTTAAAAATAGCATACTACAGGGACACAGCTACAATGTTTATAGCAGCACAATTCATAATAGCTAAACTGTGGAGCCAACCTAGATGCCCTTCAGTGGAAGAATGGATTAAAAAAAATATAGCATATACACACAATGGAATTGTATTCGGCATTAAGAGAATAAAAAGATATGAAAAATTGTACTCTATGTAATAAGAACTGTAATCCATTCTGCTGTCATGTATTTATAAAATCATGGCATTTGCATGTAAATGGGTGGCATTGGAGAAGATAATGCTAAGCAAAATTAGCCAATCCCCCCCAAAACAAATGCTGAATGTTTTCTCAAATATAAGGAGGCTGACTCATAGTAGGATAGGAAGGGGGAGCATTGGAGGATTAGATGAATTGCAGATAGGAAAGAGGGGTAGGAGGGAGGGGGCAGGGGATTAGCAAGGGCAGTGGAATGTGATGGACATCATTATCCAAAGTACATGTATGAAGACTCGAATTGAGTGTCAACATACTTTATATATAAACAGATTTGAAAAATTGTGGTATATATGTATAAGAATTGTAATGCAAAAAAAGCACATGTATAAAGGCATGAATTGGTGTAAACATAATATATATACAAAGATATGAAAAATTGTACTCTGTGTAATAAGAACTGTAATGCATTCAGCTGTCATGTATTTTTAAAAAAATCAATAAAACAAAAGATCTTTGAATTAAAGAATGACCTTAATGAGAAAATACAAGCAAAAATTGATCATTCCAACAGATACAGGTGGTAAAAGAATACTTCACTAGAGACCCTGGAAAAAAAACCCAGTCAGAAATCCTTAAAACTAAGGACACAACAAATCAAATACAAAACTCAATAGAAAACATAACCAACAGACTATCACTTGGAAGAAATAACCTCAGATAATGAAGACAAAGTATACAATCTGGAAAATAAAGTTGATCACACAGTGAAAAAGAAACCATAAACAGAACATCCAAGAATTATGGGACAGCATCAAAAGGCCAAATATAAGGGTTATTGGAATAGAGGAAGGCACAATCTCTTCAATGAGATACTATGAGAATTTTCCAAGCATAAAGAATGAATTGGAAAACCAAATACAAGAGGCTTATAGGACACCAAATGTACAAAAATCACAACAGATCTACACCAAGGCACATTATAATGAAAATGCCTAGCATACAGAATAAGGATAGAATCTTAAAAGCTGCGAGAGAGATAAATCAAATCACATATAGGAGGAGACCAATTCATGTATCAGATTTTTTGATCCAGACCCTCAAAGTCGGGAGATCATGGAACAACATTTACTGTTTTCCTTCTTTCTGAAAGAAAATAGATGCCGACCAAGAATCTTATATCCAGCAAAATTAAGCTTTAGATTTGATGATTAAATAAAAACCTTCTGTGATAAACATAAGTTAAAAGAATTCACAACTAGAAAGCCTGCACTATAGAATATCCCCAGCAAAATATTCCAAGAGGAAATGAAAAACAGTGATGAAAATCAGCAGAGGGAGGGATTACACTAAAGGAAAATCTAATCAGAGGAGAAACCAAGTCACATTAAATACCAAAAATAAACAAAAAATGGCTGGGAATACAAATCATGTCTCACTAATAACCCTGAGTGTTAATGGCCTAAACTCACCAATCAAAAGATTAAAAAAAAAA